GGAACATGTGGGAGCCAACATGGATATCCAGATCCCGCTGTTGGTTATTGGCCAGAGAGTTGTCTCGGTCATGTCTGCATGGTTCCCGAACCCGTAGGGTCTGCACACTTAAGGTTCGATGACGCTAGGGTTATTAGGAAGACTTGTATGTGATTACCGAATGTTGTTCAGAGTCCCGGATGAGATCCCGGACATCATGAGGAGTTCCGGAATGGTCCGGAGGTGAAGATTTATATGTAGGAAGTTGTCATACGGTCACCAGAAAGGTTCGGGGGATCGGTATTGTACCGGGGCCACCGGAGGGGTTCCGAGGGTCCACCGGGAGGGGCCACCTCTCTCGGAGGTCCTAATGGGCTGTAGAGGAAAGGGAACCAGCCCTACATGGGCTGGGCGCATCCCCCTTGGGCCCATGCGCCTAGGGTTGGGGGGGGAAACCCTAAAGGGGGCGCCCTCCTTGCTTGGGGGGCAAGCCCCCTCCCTTGGCCGTCGCCCCCCCTCTAGATCCCATCTAGAGGGGGCCGGCCCCCTTCCTCCTTCCCCTATAAATAGAGGGGCAAGGGGAGGGCTGCACAACACATCCAAGGCGCAGCCCCTCCCCTCCCCAACACCTCTCCTCCTCCGCAAGAGCTTGGCGAAGCCCTGCCGGAGTACTGCTGCTCCACCACCACCACACCGTCGTGCTGCTGTTGGAGCCCTCTTCCTCAACCTCTCCCTCCTCCTTGCTGGATCAAGGCACGGGAGACGTCCTCGCTCCATATGTGTGTTGAACGCGGAGGTGCTGTCCGTTCGGCGCTGGGATCATTGGTGATTTGGATCACGACGAGTACGACTCCATCAACCCCGTTCTCTTGAACGCTTCCGCTCGCGATCTACAAGGGTATGTAGATGTACTCCTCTCCCTCTCGTTGCTAGATGACTCCGTAGATTGATCTTGGTGATGCGTAGAAAATTTTAAATTTCTGCTACGATCCCCAACACATCACCTTCATGCGCCTTAGCCACCTTAGTGCCCTAGAGAAGACAATCAAGGAGGAGCTGCTGAACGAAGGTATTGGTTTTGAGTGTCAAAGGAGCTTTCCACAAAGGGGAGAGACAGACAAGGGTCAGCGACCCGCACATAGGGAATGGTAGGCGACCCATAAGAGAAGAGCCTCGAAGGGGCAAGGTGTTGACTGTCTCCGGGGTATCCGAAAGCATGGCTAGGAGTCTCGGCGCTCACCATAGTTTCCTTCGGTCCAAATGTTCGTTAGGATGAGATTTTCCAACTCCCATCAGGGAAAGCTAGGGCCATTAAGAGCGATGGGTCCGAACAAATCACAAATAAGGAGGGGAACTCGACTCTAAGTGAGTTCCTAACGAGCCACATGTCGAGCTAAAACCCATAGTACCCTCTTCATCACCTATAGAGACATTTGCACCTGCACGGATATCGTGTTTGATCCATTGGAGGGATTTCCAAAACTGAGATCCCTCCTTGCGATCACATGCAATAATTAGGCGACCTTACAATACTTAGCCTTAATAAGGCGCAACATAGACTCCCATCATCCTTCAAGATGATCCACACCCATTTCAACATGAGTGCAACATTCATCCGTTGAGAATAAATAATACCAAGCCCCCGAGGTCTTTTCTGATGTAGAAGTCTGCCCATTTCTCCATGATAGCCGCCAAAAAGTCAACCGCAAGGTTGAAAGTAAGGGGGGAAATGGGTCTCCCTATCTTATGGTACGAGATGACCGAAAATAGGGTCCCACCTCCTCATTAATGTTGATAGTGGTGCCTATCACCAGTGATGATGTAGGATCCAAAAGATCTAGGGATCGTCAAAGCCCCTTGGTTACAAAACATGGTGGAGGAAGGACCAGTCCAAGCAGTCATACGACTTTTCGAAATCCATCTTGAGGATGACAAACCTTTGGCATTTTTTCCTGGGAAACAACAGGACGCTGCTGCGTATTTTTATTAATTATGTGAAAATAATATAAAAAGGAGTACGAAAGGAAGAAAAAACTATACAACCAAACCAACAAAAAGAAAGCTATACATAAGATCTAAATTAAGCTAGAGCTAGAGAGTATACAACAACAAGTAGAGCATCAAGCATCAATCGAAAGCTCTAACCTAGTCTTTAAAGTCCTGCGGCCCTTCCTCTGAGTCCTATAGATGGTCCATTTTAGCCCCTCCTTGAATTTCCTTCTTCAAGTGTAGAGGCTGGGTGGTACACTTTTAAAGATAAAGTTATTCCTTGTAGTCCAGACAGCCCAAGAGACCAAAATTATAATTTCCATAGCAAAAGGTACATTGAGGAATTTCTTGAGGTGAGCAATTTGCTCTGGAATACTAAATCCTTGGGGTCCAATGATCCCTTGGTGAACAGAAAGTTGATTGTATGCTTTGGCTTGGTAATGATGAGAGCCAGGTGGCAATTGCTAACAATCCGCACCCAAAATCAAGACCAAATTTGTTAAGAATTACTCAAATTCATGGAATTGAGAAAAAGCTTCTTCAAAAAGGGGAAGATGAAAAGTGTGAAGACAAATCTTCCAAGTTTCACAGAATGGATTGAGATATGCCGATTCTTTGAGAATGAATTCAAATGGGGCCATGTGTGCATTTTTGGTGCATCGCTCCAATGATCTCTCCAAAAGTCAAAGAAAATACCATTTTGAATAATGTTGAGAACATCTTCTTTGAATCTTGGCAGCAGTTTTGTGCAATCCTTCCGCCAAAATGAGCAACTATGCAATGTGGTATAACAACCAAAAGCCCCTATGGCGTTGGACTTTAACCTCAAAGATTCATGGAGTATAGGAATCCCGTCATGGATTGTCCCTTAGTAAAGGCGAACTAAGTAAGTTGTGTGAGCCTGTCAGCCCATGTGACAAGCCTAATATCGCACACCTTTGCGAAGATTTGATGGATCACATTAATACCCATGATTGACCTCAAGTGTATGATATCTGTGGCTCCGGCCATCTTGGGGATCGGGATTATCACACTGAAGTTTAGGAGGGATATATCAAGCGTGCTACTGTATAGTTCCTGAAACATCAACATGATCACTGCCTTGATATATGGTCCCAAATTTCTGGAAGGAGGTAGGTAACCCATCCAGTCCGGGAGCAGAGGAGGGCTTCATGTCCAAGACAGCATGGCCAACTTCCTTCACCGAGAATGGGAGGGTTAGTTCCACGTTCTTGATGGCGAAGGTAGCCTCAACAAATCAGTGGTCCAAGGCAAAGGCAGCCCCCGACTGGGGTTCCGCCGCGAACAAGAATATTCAGTCGTTGCAGTCACGGAACAAGAACATGACCCACCCTTCCATGGTAGTTCCTTGTTGAGCACAACCACTTCACTGTTAGGTTCTACGGTAGGGTGCGTTGATTGCAAATGAAAATTTTTCTATGCGCAGAACAACCAATAACATGCTATGTGAGATGGATCACAAATCGTTACCACTAGACGCGCGGTGCCGTGCATCGGAAAAAGAGTTGGTGCAGCGCGTCCGCGTGGATCGTCTCCTCCTCGTCCGATCTCCGTCGAACAACCGGTCGCTGGATCCCACGTACAAGTTCGCCGGAGCGGCGCAGGTGCACCCCCTCTAACGTTATCCGCGCGTGCAGGAGGAACGACGTGCGGCGGACTGCTAGGTCCGATCACACAACCGGCGGCGAGTAGAGGTGTCTATTCGCAACACATGCAAACCCTGGTGACAGCGCCGAAGCGATCAATCGCATGAGTGTGCCGCACCCTCACTTTATATAGGCGTCTGTTGCGGGCTCAATACTTGGGCCTCGCACGGACCCTAAAGCTCACAAGTCTACTCGGCCACAATTCGAAAACAGCTCGGATCACATTCGACCAGTGTCCTCGGATCCGACCTTGTAGGTTCCTTCCCTTAACCGCGTGACCCCTTAGGTTCAAGACGGCTTGGTCGCAGTTCGGATCACCTCGGAACTGCACGGTTGGTAGCGGCCCCTAGCAAGGCATGCCGAACACCAAGCAGACTATGAAGCTGGTTAGGCGAACATGTACATCATACTTCTGTTCCCTTTGCCACATGATATATGTTGTCGGGCTCAAGGCGAGTCTGTCATCCTTGTGCTAGCCCGACCTCTTTCTCGTTCCAATGATGTCCACCACAAACCGAATTATCTCATAATCCGAATGACATGGCCATGCTTATCTTGGTCGGATCACACGAGGGGCTCAGAGTTTTTTTTGCCAAGAGCTACTCAGATGTTCAAATGATCTGAAATTTGGAGCACGCCTCATGCACCAAATTATCCACGATGATTTTCTTTGTTAGATTATTTTTAATTTTTTTAGTATCTGTTTTGAATTTTTTCTTCATCACGGGTGCAGATTAGTCTGGGCACCGAATCGCTGCTCTTCAAAATACCTTTCTATTCAGTGCTTTGAGATTCGTAATCTCTTTTAGGGGTATACCTCCACCCAAAGAAGTCTTTCTATAACGTCGCCGATCTTTTTTTCTTCGAAAAAGAAGATAACCCCGGCTTCTGCATTATTTGATGCACACAACCAACGATGACGCCGCCGACCATACCCTGCAGCGAATCAGAAAGTGGTTGCATATTTCTCAGAATGGCAGGGTTAGCATTGAAGCAACCTTCCAACTATAAGCCTGCATCCATCATTCCTCACATCCCCATATCTTGCCCAAACAAGAAGCTTTGCTCACTCAAAGTGGTGGATTTGCATATCTCATACACGACACACACAACCAACAAACCTGATGAACTCATCTCTTCCCTCGCACAAACCCCAAGCCAGATCCGTCTATCACGCCGCTTTGCCTCTACATGTCCGCCCTGGAACCCACAGTCCACTCCGCTTCCCTCGCTAAAACAAATCATCTCCCGCTGACTCTGCACGTCGCGTCAGATCTCTAGCTAAAACAAATCCTGAATACCCATGCTACATGTTCGTTTGACCTTGCAAAGTGTGGAGCAGATAGGACTAGGAGCAGGGGGAACATGAAGTTGATCCGCAGGGGCAAGCGTTCAAGAGCGAAGAAGGGCTCGGCGGCTCCGTTGCAATCTACCGGAGATGTTGATGGTGGAGGTGGAGGTGGCTCCAACAGCAGGCAAGTGGCGCCTGAGAACGTCCTCCCGGCTGAATCGACTACAATCGCTGGCTATGGTAGTGTTCTTTTCTTTCTCGCTTTGTCTGTGTTTCTACATTTGTAGTATTCCCTCTGTTCACTTTTGTAAGTCGTTTAAGACAGCTGAAATTGAACTGTTTTAGGTGTTGTCTTAAATGTCTAAAACGTCTTACAAAAGTGAACGGAGGGAGTAGTAGTAGTAGGTGTGTGGATCATGGAGGGTCTCCCTTTGCTGACTCTCATCAATCGAGAGATGAAACGAGCAGTGAGAAGCCAGGTACTCCCTCTGTAAAGAAATAGGTCAGTATTCTCCAGATCGGTCAGGTTGTCTTCTTTTTGTACGTAGAACCATGTCAGTTGATTTTTCCTAGTTTGTTTGCTTTTTGGCGGTGGTGGCAACCTTATTTCGCAGAGATCAGGTACCAAGTACCAACTCTTCGTGGTTGTACGGCCTCGATGCGATGTTTGAGTCAACAAATTTTGTGTATCAAAAGTTTTGCTTATCATATAGGCATTTCATAGATGCGGCCATGCATCAAATTTTGGCCCTTTGGAATCTAGAAACGATGGAATTTCCTGAAAAAGAGTGGCAGATCATATAGGCATTTTTTCTACTTTTAGCAAAATTTTGTCATCGAATCCATGCGTTGTGATATAAACTGTAACACTAATAGACAGTTACTTATTCTTGTGGAGATTCATTTTCTTATACTTCATTGATGATAGTTTCAGTTCAAGCATTTGTTGTCCCCAATATGCAAGCGTCAGTTTCTGTATTCTTCAGGAGAAACAAGGCTCATCCTACGAAACAATGGCCAACATATAATAAGATTACAGGAAATAAGCAATGAAGATTATTTGCATATGTAGCATTCCACAGGGAGATTTTCTGCCCTAGTAAAGAGAAGCACCAAGATATTTTGTTGGCTTTTCTCTACGCAGAATGTTGGAGCTGTTGAAAGTTGACGTTTTCCTGCATCTCTTAATCATGTCAGAAAGTAGGGGCAGGCACGTTTCCTCTGCTTTATGATGAACGGCAGAAGAAATCACAGGAACATGGGTCCTGCATAATTCTTGCCTAGTGGCTGTTGAGCTAATCTCATCCTGGTCATTATTATGTTTGAACCTAATTGCCATCACGATTAAGTTACCAATCGTTTTCCTTACAGGTATACTATGGAACATACTCATTTGCGTGATTGACCTGTGCATGCAGCTAGCAGCAGAGATGAAGCTTTCTATGAAGCCTCTCCTTGGTTAGATTCGGACTGTGAAGATGATTTTTTCAGTGTAAATGGAGGTAACAATGTAGACTAACTCACGTAATTCGTAGCCAGAAAGGAAATTTTCCAAGACGTCCGTTGCTGCGAGAAGCACCTTTCTGAACCACATTTGTGTATCTCAGATGCTACACCTGCGAGATCATTCAGTACAACTGCAAGCAACCAGGCCACAGCTGCTGCGTTTGGACCTCAGACGAAGCTACCTACGCTGGAGGCCATCCTCCAGTCTGAGCCCCTGAACCTGAAGCCAGCCCCGCAGATGAAGAAGCTAGGTGACCTCCTCAAGGAGAAGCAAGAAGGCGCCGATGGCGCCGGCGACATCTCCAGGGCTCGCGGCGGAGGGGGAGCTGGGCGGTGCTGCATTCCCCAGCTTGCGCGGGTCATCAGCTACAGGGAGAGGAGAAATTAAGGGGTTTGAGATCATGGATGGCAACTTGGCAAGTCGATCTGGGTTTGGCCGGGGGCGATCCTCCTTTTCAAAAATAACAAAGAAATTCGATCTGAGTTTTACTGAAACAGCCGAGTTTCCTTCGGTTAAATTCCTGTCGGCGTGGACGATTTCGGATCGCCTTATGGAACAGTTGCAGCAGACAACTTGGCCGTCCAAACGTATATACGCAACCGTCCACATAAAAGTGTAACCGGTTCTAGATGTAGGTTTCTGTACTGTACGGTGTTCGCTCTGTTTTTTTAGAGAAACGAAAACCTAATTCGATGCCCAGACTCATCTACATCCGATTAGAAAAAAATTAAAACAAATACTAAAAAAATTCAAAAAAGTCTAACTTTTTTTTTGCGTGATAGATAATTTTATGCGTGAGGTTCGCTTCAAATTTTGACTTATTTGGACATCTGAGCAGCTCTTCGCAAAAAAAAAATCAGGTCAGAACAGTGTGTGAACGATCATTCTCGAAAAAAAATAGTGTGTGAACAATAAACTTTTTTACAAACCCTGAATTTGTCTTTTTTGCTGAGAATTTCTCAGATGTTCAGATGAGTTGAAACTTGGAGCGCACCTTACGTATAAACTTATCTACCACATACATTTTTTGATTTTTTTTAATCTTTTTAGTTTTTGTTTTGATTTTTTTCGTGGGGAGGTGCAGATGAGTTCCGGAGCAGAAACGTGGCACCCGTTGACTCATAAAACGCGCGGAAGGAGTAGCAACAGTTACGACACGATCAAGCCATAGGCGCGCATGCCAGGCAAAAGAGAAGGCGAAATCTTGCCGACGACTCTCAGCAGGGGAACTTGAGGGGCTCACGCCTGGCGGAGGAGCGGATCTCGAAGACCATCAAGACTACGGTACCAGCATCAACAACTTTAGATAGAGGGCTGCACTGCTGGACAAAGATAACCATTTCGAACAAACAATCAGAAGGGCTCTGTTTAAATTCCAATCAAGTATGCATCTACTAACATTTCTGTCAAATGATTTATTCTGACACTACAGACTTGCAGTGTATTTTATTAAAAAAAATAACCGATTATGACGTTGCAGTGTATAGTACCGAATCAATTAAAGCCTTCCTTCATTACGGGGAAACCCTTCAATCTATTCACTAATTTTTAAGGTAGTATAAAAAAATATAAAAAGTAAAAATTACATACAGGTCTGTAGACCATCTAGCGATGACTACAAGCACAGAAGCGAGCAAAAGGCGCGTCGCCGTTGTTGCGCCTCATTCATTGGAGTCGGGCAACCTTGTTGTATTAGACAGCCGGAAAGTTGTCATGCTAAGACCCCATATGACCAAGGCATCCGAATAACATTCATCGCTGCTCGGAATGATTCTGTGGACAAACGAACACAAATGAATGTAGACCAAATCTCAGCAAATTCACCGAAGACAAATGCCGACCGAATCTCGCGAGATCCGTCAGAAGGAAACCTCCACACGCCTTTTCGATGACACTAGAAGTATCATCGAGAACCTTGTGCTATCTTCAAGGAGCCATTGCCGCCTCGCTACCTGAGTAGAATACATATCCTAACAAAAAAACATGAGCCCTCCAACCGACAAAAGTCGGGATTCATCACGCCTCCATGTCCCTTAGTCAATGGGAGACAAAGGCAGACCGATGGTTGCACCAGCGAGAGGTGAAGGAAATCCTATCGCTTGGTGCCCTTGCCTCATGAAGGGGTACAACAAGTGGAGCTGCATGCGAACGAATTAAAGTCTTGTCATGCAACAACCGTTTTTTCTAAGAACGGAGACTTGTGTTCGAAAATGCATAGGAGCACCTGCGGGCTACCTCCCTTCACTAGTGCAGAAATGGGCTATAGTCCCAGTTCATGAGGCCCTTTAGTGCCGGTTCTGGAACTGGCACTAAAGGGTGGGGACTAAAGGTCCCCCCTTTAGTCCGGTTCGACATGAACTGGGACCAAAGGCCCACCACGTGGCACGAGCACGCGCCGGGGGGCTGGGGGCTTTTAGTCCCGGTTGGCTACACCAACCGGGACTAAAAGATTTAGGGGTTTTGGTTTTATGATATATTTTTTCTTTAATTTTTTGTTTTCCATTTAATTTATTTCATTTGCTGGTATTTTATGATACTATATATTGTACATGTTATGCATATATATATATATATATATATATATATATATATATAATTTCTTGTAGAACCGATAATATTCTGATCACAACCTGAACTTCCCGAGTAACGCGCCTGAACTTTCCTGTGTACGAACCCGAACTTCGAGCTATCTTCGCAACCGTGCCTTCTACCGTGAGTTTTTCTGATCGTTCGTGTTGTTTGTGATGTAAGTGTAATGTGGACACGTTATTTAGAATCTAAATGCTTGTTTTTTTCGGAATCTAGCACGTTGGCGGATTTGCTCTCGGGGTCGTGATGAACTTGTGTCTGTTACAAGTTTAATGCATGTTGTGGACGTTGTCGAAGCTCTAGCACGATGGGGATTAGGTTTTGGTACGAGATTGGAGCACAAATTCTTGTTATTTCAAAAAAAATTGAAATCGCCCGTGTTCTTCATCCGCCCGAGATGTAGCCCGCGCTTCTGTTGATTTCTCGTTTTTCCTTAAAGTTTTGCTGGCTGATTTGCGTACTTTAGTGAAATTCAAGGCTTACTAAGCCATAAATTTTTATCGGGAGGGTCCTTACGGTTTGATTTCTAGTGATTTGAGGTTGGCACTCCCGCAGGTTTTTGGACAGGTTATTTTTGCGGTTTTGAAATTTGCCCTCTGGTCATTTTAGTTGTCGAAAGGGAGTTGCCAGATCATTTCCAAAGGGGGTGCGGACGTGTTGTAATCTTGTGCAGATGATTTTATGCTTCGGATGAATTTGTTTGTTCATTATTTTTAGATCATCTAATGGTCGTTGTACAAGCTGGACTTCTGCTTTGTCATACCTGAACTTCTGCTTTTCCTTCGTTGGATCCTGTCGGGGCTGGGGCGGCTCGGGATCGGGATCGGGGGAGGATCAGGTCAATCCTGTGGGTGGCCGGGTTTCTGTGTTGGACTTCTGCGTTGTCATACCTGAACTTCTTCTTTTCTTTCGTTGCAAGGTAATGCAGCAAGTCCTTTGTATTTCTTTCCTTTTTTCTGTGATTTTTCATTCTTGCATTGTTTTTATTAATGGTTGAACTTCTGGTTTTCCAGATTGCATTCCATATTTGCAAGGAGAAGGTGCATGGTGCTCTATATTTTCTTTGTTTGGTTTTCTTCGTAATTTTAATTCTCCAGATGTTCTTTTTATACTTTTGTCTCATGAGCAATCATGGGATTAGCCCAAGTATGCATGCACTTTTTCCAGATCATCTAAGGGTCATTGTAGAAGCTGGACTTCTATGTTTTTCATACGTGAACTTCAGCTTTTTTCTTCTTTGCAAAGTAATGCAACAAGTCCTCTGTATTTCTTTCTTTTTTATGTTTTTCTTCATTCTTTGCATTGATTTGGATTTTTTTGACTTAGTCCCATGAGCAGCCATGGAATTGGCCGATGGATATGCATATTTTTTATTTTTTCTAGTATGTTTTTGTACTTATAATAGTTGTTGGTCTTCACTGAATAACTATCCTGAACTTCTGTGTGACAATTGTTTTTAACATGTTAATTTGAGGTTTTACAAAACGTCGAACTACTATCTTCACTTCTCTGTGACAATCGTTTTTAACATGTTAATTTGAGGCTTTGTTTGTTATTTTTGGATTTAAATATTTGTAGACATTGAAATCGGCATTGCGCGTATTGACAAATGCGGTAGCGCGAGGCCGAGCAGGGGGAGGGGGGGTCGGGACCCCCTCCCCTCCCCCTACGAGGCCGAGACAGGAACGAGCCGGAGCAGGCGACGACGCAGCACGCCGCGTCGTCGCATGCGGAGGCGAGTCAGTCACATCCGTGACCCCACTATCTATCTTAGGGTTTTTAGGGTTTAGGGTGCGTGCGGTGGGGGTGGAAACAGAATAACCGCATTGC